ATGGCAGCCAAGATTTGGTAAAGTTCCAAACAAAGTACAGTGTAACCTGATAATTTCATTCTTGTAAAATTCAGCATATGTTAAAACTATGGAAAAATACTTTGAATTTAGATATAAGTTGGACTTGTGTTCTACTTGGATGATTACAGACAGGATTATTATCTGTATGGATAGTTTTAAGTCTTGGTCCTGCCCAATAAGTGGCAATAACATTTCCCTAACTATTGCAACAACTCCAAATGTCCCAATATGTTTTCAAAATGCTGCCCAGGGTTAGCATTGTTCCTACTTGGAACCTCTAGTGTGGCATGATTGAGGTTATTTTGAAGTGAAGAGATATAGGTGGTTTGGTGTCATGAAACTCCAGACTATAAGGGTATATTTTGTGTTTCCTCCAGAAGTTCTGATTTAACCATTCCCCCTTGATACCTCAATGACTTGATAGCTGTCAAGGGAAAACAGGTGGGTTATTGCCAAGTCTCTGGTAAGATTCTTTATGGTCAACTGATAGTTTTACTTATATGTAAATTGCTAATTGCTGAACCGTATGAGTGTCCAAGACAACTTTGCTCACTCAAGTCTCCTGAGGTTGGTTTGCCCTTGAATGCTCCAAGCACTATTCTAAACACTATTAAGAATTAACATTGCAATATAAACAAGTAGAGGAGGGGCAGAGGAAACGTTGGGAGCTCAGTTGGCTACATTACCTGATGGGCAGAATGCTTATTTATTTTGATAATTGTGCTGGATAGCTTCAGTTGTCAAGTTGACACACCTGGGTGGATTGGTCTGTGGCTACATCTGTGGGATGTTTTCTTGATTGTTGAATGATGTGGGAGGGCCCAGTCCACTGTGGGAAATACCACCCTGGGTAGGTGGTCCTGTGTTATATAAGAAAGCATGCTGAGCAGGGGCCAGAGGAGCAAGCCAGTATGCATCGTTCCTCCATGGTCTGTGTTCCAGGTTCCTGCTATGAGTTCCTGCCTTGGCTTCCCTTGATGATAGACTGCTGATTTTGCTCAGTGTTTTTATCACAGCAATGGAAACTAACTAGATGGAAATTGGTACCAGAGAGTGGGATATTGCTGTCTTGGAGGCTTGTGGAAGCCTTGGAGCTTTGGTCTAGAAAAGTGCTTGGAGCTCAGTGAGCTGTTTTGTAGGAACTTGGAAAATTATGCTGAAAGAGGTATAGATAATGGAGGCCTGACTTGTGATATATTTTGAATTAATAATTGTTGGAAGTAAAACCTTTTGTTCTTTACTGGGACAACTGATGCTGGTCATCTGGGTCTGAAAAATCAGCTGTGAGTGACAGGAGACCAACATTATCAAGATGAAATATTCTGGGAAGTATTTCCTCAGGATTTACACATGAAATCAGTGGTCCAGAGGGGGCTAAGATTACACCTCAAGCTGGAAGCAAGACTTGGTAATGTGTAAGAGTCTCCTACATGGTACTGGTTTTGAAGGCATGAAGGGGTCCTGTAGAGCAGCTTGGCATGGTGAGAGATAGGAAAGGTCACTGGTGAAAATGTGGCCTCAATTGCAGTAACGACCCCCAGGACTGAAGGGGTCATGGAGGGAATCTGAGGCTTTGATTTTGAGAGGCCAGGAGAGCCCATTGTTGAAGATGCAGCCTCAGTGTCAGCAGAGGGTCCAGCATATTGGAAATTCCAGGACCATGGGATGACCACCAAGGGCAGTAGCAGGTGTGGAGTAGAGCCAGCATAAGCTATGAGACAACCTATACTGTGGATGGCAGAGCCAGAGAAGTGGAGCTGCCCACGCCCTTTGGAGCCCAGAAGATCGTGAGTAAATTCCAGATATCCAACATCGAGCTCCATTTCTGGATTCTGGTTTTACTTAAGTGTGCCCAGTTCCTCCCTTTTGGAATAAGACAATATGTAATTCACTTTGGGTTTTACAGGAGCCCACAGGTGAGAGACCGAATTATTTTTAAAATACACTGAGTTAAATCTTGTCAGCCAGAGGTCCCTGTTCCAGGAGGATCAGCTGTTCCTCATCTACGGCAATCCATTGGACAGTGGCAGGGATGACAGAGTATGGAGGCTCTAGTGGGAGAGGAAGG